AGTTTTATTAAACATAAATATATTATATGTTAATATTTATTTTGTTTTTTAAGTGTAATTATTCTATTATAGAGGCATAAAGCTTATAAGTCATAGTATAAAAATTTGGGAAAAGGTAATAGATAAGAGAATAAGAATTGAGACATCGGTATCTAAAAACTATTTTGGATTTATGCCTGGTAAGTCAACAATGGAGCCATTACTTTGTGTGAGGTAACTAATAGAAGAGTTTAGGGAAAAGAAGAAAAAGCTGTGTATAAATCCTCTTCTTAATTATATTTTTTCTTGTTATAAATTTACTATAGCTCTTAAATATNCCTCTTCTTAATTATATTTTTTCTTGTTATAAATTTACTATAGCTCTTAAATATCAACATTAAATTAATATCTGTTAATTGCATGAATTTAAAATTTCTTTTAGAATAGCTTTTATGTTGAAAAATAAAAAAAATTCTACATGTATATTAGAGTGTTAAATTTAATTTATAATAGTAGTTGCACTTGTGCAATTATACGCACAGCGAGTTCTATTTTTTAGTATCAATAATTGTCCTCAAATACTTCAACTATTATTTAATAAATTCATTCATAGTATTAATTATACATTTAATGTGTTCAAAAAAAAAAAATTTACCTTGTTTAAAAGTAAAAATTTTGTTTTTACATCAGTAGAAAAACTAAGTAAACATATATTTTAGATAAAAACTCGGAACGTGTGTAATTACACAATTGCAATATTTTTTTATTTTGTATTATTTGCAAATACAATTAATGTAAGTTTTTTAAAAAATAATAACTGCTTCGACCTCATATTTATTAGGCTACAAGAATTTTTTTCGCGATTAAAAATAATCACACTGCTAATAAGTCAAAATATGACTATAAAAGTCATATTTTGACTTTAGTTATCAATATAGTTCCAAAATATAGTTATCAAAACTATATCTGTTATTGATAAATTCTATTTTTCCGATAAATTTACCTATTTTTCATTTCATGTACTTATTTTAGTCTGATATTATATCAGTAAATTAAGTCTACTTAAAATGTTCTGTAAGTTATTAATATAGTACTGAAAATTGCATAAATGCAACTATATATTTTTAAGGGTTACTATATTTTTCATCGAAGTGTTTTCTTTAATACAGACAATAATAAATTATTGATAAAAAAAATTATCCTATTTTTAACTAAGATTTTCATCTTGGTTATTTCGAATAAGTAAAAATCACTAAATAAGTTTTAATTATTTTTCACAAATATATTTAATAGTTAAAATATTACAAATAAGTTATTTAAAATCAGGCTTGAATAAAAATTAATAAATTGTTTTTACACTATGTTAGTTGAAACTTCCACAATATTATTTCGTTATAAGTTTTATATAATTAAAACGTTATGAAATTATTGTTTCCGTTTTGGGGTATTAAACAAAATAAATTTTATTTATGTTTTACATTTTTGCGATATTTAAACGTTATTGTAAATTATTTTACATAAATTGGATTAACCAGTCACTGCTAACATGTGAGCATTTCCCTTGCGTATTTTTTAGTTAAGAAACACTGATTTTCTCGTAATATATTTTTCCTTAACTCATTGTATCTTATAATGAATCATCAATATGTTTTTGTTTGATGTTTAGTTTGGTTTTTTGTTTTATTTTGTTTGAAGTTATTTATATATCTGTCGTTATTATAAATTTTTCGTTTATCGTTGTACTTTTTTTTACGTTATACGATTATAATTGTTTTTTTTTAACTATAATAGTATGAAAATGGTTTTGAACCCTATTTTAAATCACTTGGTTCATATGTGATTTTGAATTTGAATTAATTTACAGAAAATTGAGTTCAACGTTATGGTTTTTATATTTTCAA